GTCTCAATTTCAGAACTTGTTAGAAAACCTAGGCAATACCATTTAGGACATAGGCATGGGCAAAGACTTCAAGATGAAAACACCAAAAAAAAAAAAAAAAAAAAAAATGCAACAAAAGCCAAGCTGACAAATAGGATAACTAAAGAGTTTCTGCCAGCAAAAGAAACTAGCATCAGAATGAACAGGCAACCCACAGAATGGGAGAAAAATTTTGCAATCTACCCACCTGACAAAGGTCTAATATCCAAAATCTACAAGGAACTTAAATAAATTTACAAGAAACAAACAAACAAAAAATCAAAAAGTGGGCAAAGAATATGAACAGACACTTCTCAAAAGAAGATATTTATGCAGCCAAGAAACACAGGAAAAAAGCTCATCATCACTGATCATTAGACAAATGCAAATCAAAACCACAATGAGATAGCATCTCACACCAGTCAGAATGGCGATTATTAAAACAACAGATGCTGGTGAGTCCGTGAAGAAATAGGAATGCTTTTACATTGTTGGTGGGAGTATAAATTAGTTCAACTATTGTGGAAGACTGTGTGGCGATTCCTCAAGGATCTAGAACCAGAAATACCATCTGACCCAGCAATCCCATTACTGGGTATATACCCAAAGGATTATAAATCATTCTACTATATACAGGCATATATATGTTTATTGCAGCACTATTTACAACAGCAAAGACTTGGAACCAACCCAAATGTCCATCAATGATAGACTGGATAAAGAAAAAGTGGTACATATATACCATGGAATACTATGCAGCCATAAAAAAGAATGAGATCATATCTTTTGCAGGGACATGGATGAAGCTGGAAACCATCATTCTCAGCAAACTAACACAGGAACAGGAAACCAAAGATTGCATGTTCTCACTTATAAGTGGGAGGTGAACAATGAGAACACATGGACACATAGAGGGGAAGAACACGCACTGGGGTCTGTTGGGGGTGGGGGGCGATGGGGAGGGAAAGTATTAGGACAAATACCTAAAGCATGAAGGGCTTAAAACCTAGATGACGGGTTGATAGGTGCAGCAAACCACCATGGCACATGTATACCTATGTAACAAACCTGCACGTTCTGCACATGTATCCCAGAACTTGAAGTTAAAAACAACAACAACAACAAAAAAAAAACAAAATAAACTCACCTAGGGCCAGAGCACTGTAAATGAGTAGTCAGGGAGGTTAAACAGATGTTTCAGATAAACAGCATACCCAGTATACCAGACAGAAGATCCTGGGGAATAGTAATCTTTGAGTGGCAGAGAGAAGAGGAGCAGCCCATGAAATAGGCAAAGATCTTAAACTCCAATGCCTTCAGGAGCTACGCATACACCATCAGCCAGTGAAGAAAGCCTAGGTAGGAGGCAGACATGGCAACTGCATAGGCCTAGAGAATGAGCAATATGCCTAACAGCATTTAGATTCATTAAGAAATACTTTACAGTCACAATAAAGCAAACCACCACAAATACTTTGCAGGCAAAAATAAAACACATATGAGGAGGCAAGCAAAGCCCAAGGACCATCAATATGCAATGCTGAGCTGCAGGAAAAGCAGGAAGTGGGCTGGGAATGAGAAAAAAATCAGTAAAGTGTGGTTTCCTATACGTTTTTTTTAAAAAAGGTTTTACCTTTTATTTCCATGAACTTAACAAAGAAAACAATATGTTTCACTAGACAGTCACCCAAACATTGTAATACTAGTAACAACAACAACAACAAAAAACCCCACTATTTGTTACAGAACTTGTAAAACCTGAAAATGGCGGTAATGATCAAATGGTTCAAATGTGTAAAGAGAGGAATCGCAAATTCAAGTGGCCCATCCACCGACCAAATGTAGATATCTTCTTGAAGAATTGTGGCCATCTGCTCTGTGCTTGAGTGAATCCAGGGATGGGAAGCTCACCTCCTTGTAAGTGTTCAGAAGGTTTTTTCACTTTGACCTGTTATTATGTAGAGCTAATGATATCTGCCACCTTGTAGTCCGATAATCACAGATATACCCTCTGGAGTCACACAGAATGTATTTAATACCTTTCCAACTGCCAGCCCTTCAGATAATTTGGAAACAGTGACTCTGTTACTATCTTCCCTCTACAAGTCTTCCTTTTCCAGGCAAAACATTCCCACCATCAACTACTCCCCAAATCTGTTTTCAGACACAACCACCCTTCTTATGAACCTTCTTATTTGTAACTAACCATCTTAAAACAGTGCCCAGAAAGAACACAATGTTCCTAGCCAATTTATACCCTGGGGCTTCTTTAGGCATAATTTTCTACGTCTGCAGCAGTAGAAATACAATTACATTTTATGGAGCTCAGCCTCCTGCTGTTCCTGTTTCCTACCTCTCACCCTCCAAGGCAGTCTGTTTGTTGAATGTCCTGAACAGATGCATAATCTAGAGCGAGTGCTCCCATCAATATAAAGAATGCCATCCCTCATCACTCCATCGCTTCTGATTAAGATCTCTTGGTCTAATGTATATTAAGTTCTATACCAATAATGCCTGTGCGGTGCTGCATGCTTTTCATGCCTCTTTCTGAACACTGTGTTATTAGATACTCAGCCTGGAGAAGCATTTTCATACAAAGAGGAAGACAAAACTGAGAATGAATAGTTAAAGACAAAGGGAAAATTGGGAATCTCACTGTTGGAAAGAATGGTAGATGGGAACATCCAATGACCTGGCTTTGAATCTGGTTCTCTACTAACCATTGCTACTTAAAAAAATAGTAATAATAACAATAAGAACAGAAACTGCTATCTATTAACAAATTCTTGGTAAGTACCAACCTCTGAAATAAGTCTTTCAGGCTTCGATATCATATGGTTAGGAGATGCCACTGGGATTTGAACTTACTTCTGCCTGTTTCTAGACTTCAATCTCTACACAGTCTTTTACCACAATCTCCCTTAGTGGATACTGTCTATACTACATATGACTTACACCACTGATTTAAAAAAAAAAGAAAAGAAAGAACTCTTAGAGTAATTACTTCTCCTGAGATGATCCTCCAAAATGTAGAAGTAGAAACATGTGTTTTCTTATCTGTGGGGCCATCAGAGCATGCAGACAAGGGCAAAAGAATAAGAGAGGAGAGCGAGGCCATACACCAACCACAGTGCTGTACATTGTGTCTTGAACTGGGCTGAAATGTAACCATGCAGTTTCTGTTTCAAGCACATTTGGAACATCGACAAGATTTCAAGGTGACTGTTCAGCCTAAGAAAACAGTGTTTTCAAGCACTTTTAATGCTACCTTAGCAGTACTTACTAGTATATAATTCATGTGCTAATTTATTCATTAAAACAGTCTGCATTTGGCAACATTTTGTTAACCTTAGTTTACATGACTGAGATTGGTATTTGTATTTTAATTACATCTCTTTATAATTACTCTGTAATTCTGATTTTCTTCCAATGTGAACTAAGCCTTTATCAATCCCCAAACTGCATTCCACATCCAATGAAAATGAGTTCAAATTATAGTTTTATAGAATATGGCTTTGGAAAACCCAGAGAGCCTATTCCCAAAGGTAGTCATGCATCAGAGCCTCCTGGGGATTTCCTTATATAATGACTGATTCCTGAGGGCTGTGCAATCTACTCGATCAGAATCTCCAGGGACAGGACCTCCTGAGAATTGAGATCTGCAACAACTAGTCCACAAATCAGCACTTAGGTACTGGTGACTAGATTATTTCCACTCTACGCACATCCACTACAGCTCTTGGAAAACATAGGAAGCAAAAGATAGTAAGGGTTATCCTAAAGGCAGAATAACCAGCCACTTCACGAAATTCAATGCATCCCAGAAACATTAATTATAAGTTTCATTATTAACTGCTGACCTATTGTTCTTTATTTTCAGGATTTGAGTTGCCATTTTAATGTCAGTACTGCAAAGAAGCCCTATAGACACACACACAAAAAGTTGCATAGATTTTAACTGGTCCCTGGAAACGAGGTAGAGATAATCATGTGGTTTATTTGACAGAGCCACATGATAAACAATCTAGATAAACAATGTGTTTTAAAACGCATTCTCAAAGAGTTAGAACAGGAATGTCAAACAGACAGCAAATATGATACCTCCCTCCTATCTGATGCCCTTGGCAGGCATTGCTAATCAATCACAGCACTTTTCCTTGCATCCACAAACAGCCTCAAAGTCCTTTTAACCAATCACTCCAGGGCACTAGTGCTATCTAATCTGCTCTACCATGTGGGGGACATACTTTCCCCTCTTTGGCTAGAATAAACAGGTAAACTGAAATCACCTTATATTTTATAACAGCCTGATCCATGACAGACTCTACACTCCACACGGTGGAAATGGGCATCTGAAGGTTCTCATGTAGACAGGGCTTTAGGTGAGGATCACCTGGCTCTTGCCGATTCATGTTTGTAGTGGTTTTACACTTATATCTTTGAATGGGAGTACTTAGAAATAAATTAACTTCTTTAATATTTATGATATGTGAGTTACACTTACTCAAACCAACCTAGTTTTTCCTCACAATAATTCAAAGTTTCGCTTTGAATAAATGCTGTTGGGAACGACAAGCTGAGTTCCAAAGTGTTTTAAAAATTAAGTGTAGCATTTGACTAAAACAATCATCTATCAATCTGCTTGATTTTCACCGGTAGCACCATAGGTTTTCTTCTGTGGAGATTCTGGGCCGTATCTCCATGCAAATATTTACTGTCCTGGTAAATGACAGGATAGGAATCACAAGGACACTTGTTTTCTGCTGGTTTTCATTTGAAAAAGAAAATCATTATAATTAATTAGTCTTGGGTTCCCATGATGGCCATTCTTGACTCCTTGGCTTCTACTGCCACTTTCCAAGTCAGACTAAATAGAATTCCATTTCAGACCATATCTAGGGTAATACTTGATTCATTAGGTTGATGTCATCCCAACGACAGTCCCCGTGATCAAACAATAAGATCAGAGAGAGCAGACCCACCTTCTCATAGATGCTGTCATTCCTGTGAAAGTCTCCAGCCTTCCTGGGAAGAACATGGACGTGAACGTGCTGAAAATGTACAAGAAAGAAAAAAGTAAATGTGATTATCTCCCCATGTATTTTTAGACTTGACAGTGATGATCTCATGAAGCCCAATTACTCCATGATGGTTCCTGCTGGGTTATTTTTCAGAGGAAGTTGATATCCACCTTCGGTAACTATACCTGAATTCTGCCGAGAAGAGAGCACACTAAGCAAGAGAGAACAACTTGGTGGTATATATACAAGAGTTGGAGTGAAATGCTAGAGTGTTTCAGAGGCTCTATGGAATTATTCATGGTTGTCAGTCTTGGTTGTAGTTAGCCAGTGCTTTGAAATGACAGCACATCTTCAAAGGTGACCATCATGACTCTGAATCTGACAAGAAATAAGAATTGGCTAACAGAGAACTGCATAAGTAAAGAGTGAATAAATGAGAGTAGCAAGTAGTATAGGCAGAATTACAGACTCAGAGCTTTGAGAAATAATCGTATAATAGTAATACAAACAGTTCTCATTTATTAAGCATTTACTTCCTATGATAAGGAAAGCTGTGTGTTTGGCATTCTGTCATTTGGTACTCTTAAAAATCCTGTGAGGCAGCCAGGCGTGGTGGCTCACGCCTGTAATCCCAGCACCTCCGGAGACCAAGGGGGGCAGATCACGAGGTCAGGAGATCAAGACCATCCTGGCCAACACGGTGAAACCCCGTCTCTACTGAAAATACAAAATCAAAAAATTAGGAGGCTGAGGCAGGAGAATGGCATGAACCCAGGAGGCAGAGTTTGCAGTGAGACGAGATCACGCCACTGCATTCCAGCCTGGGTGACAGAGTGAAACTCCTTCTCAAAAAAAAAAAAAAAAAAAAATCCTGTGAGGCAAGGTCTACTATGATCTCCATTTCACAGAAGAGGAAATCAATGTTCGGTGAGGCCAGAGCACCACAGGAAGTAAAAGTCAGCACCGGAAATGAGGCCTCTTGGCTTTTGCTCCCACGTGTTTCATTAGCACATGCACTGATTCTGCGAATTTAATCTTTTAAATAGCCCATTTCCCTAGTCTACTAAAGCACCCAGGTAATATACATAGCAATGCTATTATGCAATGATTGTGAATCAAGGCTCAGAGCATATCTAATTCAATATATTCTTTAAGGCTAAACTGCCATTTGAAAGTTTTACTTTCCAAATAGCCTCTATTGTACCTTGGGTGAAGTTAAACCTCACTTCTGCCCTTGAGCTATGTTCCACTTTTATTACAAACCATGGCGAGGAATGTGAAAATGAAGAGCTTAAATAGAGGCAGACAGTGGGTCAAACCTCATCCCTGATCACCCACCCCTTCTTGATTACTGCGATCGGGCTCCAAGGCTCCAAAAGGCCTCCAGAGAACATAAGATTAAGTGTCCCTGTGGCTTTGCAGTACAAGGAGGGGGAAAATGATACCCTATTAAAGCTGAGGCAGGGTACAGCGTGGTCCAAGGTGAATGAAGCAGAGAGGAGCTTCAAAGCAGCCCCTGAGCACAGTTCCCAAAGAGTGACATGCTTTTGCCAGAATATTCACCAGTCAATGATAAAGACAGTCACGGATCTCTCAGCAACTAGGTCAAGTGTGTATTTAAGTCACAAAGATTATGTGAGCATGGAGAGAGAAAGTGAAAGAACAAACAAGGAAAAAATAAATCACAAACTACCCACGAAACCAAATTCTTAGGAGAAAGCCAGGCAGGTGGGCCTGGGCTGAAATCTATTGAAATCTCTAGATGGGCTGACTTAAAAGCAAAACCAGGAAAATAACATAGCACAAGGATAGAGACCACCCTTAGAAGGAGCCTTCATTCACTCTTTAATTCCAGAATCTCTTGCTATCCTTACTTCTTTTCATCTTTTTCTCCTTTCTTCCTTCTTTCCCCCTCCTCCTTTCTTCCCCTCTTCCTCGCTCCCATCTATCCATCTTTCACCACCTCCCTTGTACATTGTAGGAAGTTCCAGACCAGTGTCTTGCAGTTAAACATCCTAATACAAATCCTGGACCTACCACAAACTAACTGTGTGACCTTGCCTCACAAAGTCTATGTGTCAGTATCCTTATCTATATGGGGATTATAATGGTTGCTACCTCACAGGGTTAAGAGGATTAAGTCTGCTAACCATGTGCTGAGCATTCAGCTTTGCATGTAGTTACTACTCATTACCTAGAAATGTACAAGAATTACTTTTACTATTTAAAAAAACACATTTAAACCTGAAGACCAAGTAGACATCACATTCAGGGATTGATTTCTGTATCAGCAAAAAAAAAAAAAAAAAAGGAAAGATATTAAGAAGCTCCTTGAATGAGGGCATTGTTTAAGCATCTCTTTTGCAAAAGCTGGTTTCTGTTGCTTTGACTAGCCATTCTCAATCTTCCACCTGTACTTGGGGCTTGTTAAAATGCAGACTACAGGGCCCTGAAAGTCCACATTTCTAACAAGCTCCCAGCTGATGCTGGTCTAATGCCACACTTCGAGACCCACTGGCTTACAATATCCATCTGGTTTCTTACCTCGCTTCTGCCAGTGTGGGCACTGAGGTCACTCGCTGTTTTGCCAGCCCTACTGCATTATGTGTAGACTCTTTGTCTCATTTCTTGTTTTTTCCTCTTTTCCTTCCTTCTGTCTTTTCTTCCTCTTCTTTTCCTCCTTCGTTTTTATTTTTTTCCCTTCCCTTCCTTCTTTTCTTTCTCCCCACAGAATCTCACTCTGTCACCCAGGATGGAGTACAGTGATACAATCACAGCTCACTGCAGCCTTCAACTCCCAGGCTCAAAGCTGGGACTACAGGTGCATGCCACCACACCAAGCTAACTTTTTTTTTTTTTTCTTTCATATTTTTAGCAATGGAGTTCTCACTATGTTGCCCAGTCTGGTCTCAAACTCCTGGCCTCAAGCAATCCCCTCTCCTCAGCTTCCCAAGTAGCTGGCATTACAGGTGTGAGCTACTACGTCCAGTATGTGGAGACATCTTTCTGAATGCTTCTCTGGCTTTCTGCATTCTGACCACTCTCCTTGCCTGGTCCTCAGGAATATGCCTGTCAGTATCCACTACTAACATACAGTGGGCTGCGAACCTGCACTTGGGAACCTCCAGGGTCCAGGTCTATCCCCTGCCTCCTTTTCTTTATCCTCCTCTTCTGGGTTTAGTGTTCAGGGCTATCTCTATAGGCTGTGTTACCACCAAGTTCTAGAAAAGCCACTCTTGATCACTGGTAACCACTTGAAATTCGCTGTGACACACTAAAGACAGTGAACAGCTCACTGTACAGGTGGTTTTTTCCCAAGGGCATAGATCTCAACCCACCCTGATATCTTGACATAAATTCTTAAGTGACAGGCTGATCACAGGATGCTGACAACCCACTTGGCTTCTCAGAACAGGGAAATCATGATAAAGCCAGCTCAAAGCCTCATTGCTGTGAAAAAATACCATCACTATGGCCTTCGAACAGAATGACATTCTGATAAAACCCTATGAACATCAGAGATGAGGATAATTTGATATAATCTGTTCTTAGTGGTTTCATATTAAGCTGTGGTGATCACAGCTTACTTTTCTAAGTGCCAGCAAAACATCTATTTAATAAAAGCCTTCCACAAATTTGCCAGCAGTTGCAGTTTAGCTGCTTGAGTTAGAAGAGTATCTTTTTAAAGTCCCATGACACATTCCACACCAAAAATGTTTTCATGGTCAAATAACATTTCACAAAGATCATTATCACATTAAAGTATGAGAACTTCCACACAAAAGATGCTTGTTTAACTTCATCTAATATAGCATTCTAGAAACTTATTTGACTATGGAGTCCTGATTTTTATTCATGTAACACTTCTATAGACTTCTCTAAAGTATACATTCATTCACTCAAAAATATCTATTTCTAGGTGCTATTCTAGGAACGAGGGATATGGTAATTGACAAGACAAAGCCTCCGTCCCCACAGAGCTTAGATTCCAATGGGTGATGCAGAAGATAAGGAAATGACTAACTTTATATTCTAATTTTGGATAGAAATAAGTGTCATGAAGAAAAACATAATGGTATAAGGTAAATAGTGAGCACTGAGCCATTCTAACTTTTGACGTTTGGGAAGAGAAGTAGGACCCAATTTAAGGCTGTAGTGAGGAAAGAGGCAAAATCAAGAGAGGGTAAGTTCCAACAGCCCAGAGAACAAATTTCAAAGAGGGTATCACTAACAGTGTGAAATGTTTTTGAAAGCTTGAATTGTTTCAGTAAGGCTAAGAGAACAAAATACCATGAAAAGATGCTCAACATTATTAGTCATTAGGGAAATGCAAATGAAAATCACACTGAGCTACCACTTCATACCCACGAGAAAGGCAATAATCAAAAGACACAATAACAAGTGTTGGGCAGAGTGTGGAGAACTGGAACCCTCCTACACTGCTGGGAATGTAAAATCATGCAGCTACTTTGGAAAACAGTTTGGCAGTTCCTCAAAAAAGTTTAACATCGAGTTACCATGTGACTCAGATTTCTGATCCTAACACATACCCAAGAGAACTGAAGACATATGCCCATACAAAAACTTGTATGTGAATGTTTACAGCATTCACATACATGAATAATCACATGTGATTATTCACAATCACCAAAAAGTATAAACAACCCAAATGACTATCAACTGATCAGTGGTAAACAAAGTGCAGTATATGAAGACAATAGGATATGATTTGACCATAAAAAGGAGTGATGTACACTAAGTGAAAGCATCATGCTCAGGGAAATAAGCCAGACAAAAACAGCCACATATTGTACAATGCCATTTATATGAAAATGCCAAACTAGGCTGATTCATAGAGAAAGAAAGATTTGTGGTTGTGAAGAGAGATGCAGGGTAACTGCTAACGGGCACAGGGTTTCTTTTGGGTTAACGGATATGTTCTGGAATTATATAGCAGTGATGGTTGCACAACTTTGTGACTATACTAAAAGAATGAACTGTGTACTTTAATAGGGTTTCTTTTACATTATGTGAATTATATCTCAATAAAGCTATTACTCAAAACAAAACAAAACAAAAAAAAGTGCAGGCCGGGCGCTGTGGTTCATGTCTGTAATCCCTGCACTTTGGGAGGCTGAGGTGGGTGGATCACGAGGTCAGGAGTTCGAGATCAGTCTGACCAACATGGTGAAACCTTGTCTCTACTAAAAATACACAAAAAGTTAGCCAGACTTGGTGGCACATGCCTGTAATCCCAGCTACTCGGGAGGCCGAGGCAGGAGAATCATGTGAACCCAGGAGGCAGAGGTTGCAGTGAGCCAAGATTGTGCCACTGCACTCCAGTCTGGTCGACAGAGCAAGACTCCATTTCAAAAACAAACAAACAAACAAACAAAAAAAACCAAAACTTAACTGCAGTGGGTTTCAGAGCAAGCGGGAGGTGAAGAAATAGAGACAGCGTGCAGTGCCGTCAGTTTTAGAGGCTCTGCCTCTTCTGCGCTGTCTCTGCTCCTTCCTCCATCTCTTTGAACACACCTCTTCTGCCCACACTCACCTGAGGATTGTCAGTGTGGTCATACTGATATCTTTTTTCCTTGTCAGAGTATATTGTAATTCAATTCTAAAGGACACAAACATGGTTCATGGCGGAGGAAAGGGCAAGGAAGGCTGAAGAGCGACCCTGCTCCACAGCTGGGGTCCTGCAACCTCAACCAGTTGGCCCTGTGTGAATCCTTCTCCCTCACATGTGCCAATGAGCAACTGCAGAAGGCAGGTCTGATTCTAAAGAATAACAGACGATACTGTGGTCAAAAGATAATGGCCACCTTCAATGACATCCATGTCCTAATCCCTGACCTGTGATTCTATTAAGTTACAAAAGATAAATTATGGCTGCACATGAATTAAGGTTACTAACCAGCTGACCTTAAGATTGTGAGAGGTATCATAGATTTTCCAGGTTTGGCCCAATGTCATCAGGAGTCCTTAAAACTGGAAGAGGGTGAACATCATCAAAATTGTAAGAATGTGAAAAGCCAAGCCAGAGACTGGCAGAAAGGATTTGCAAATCACCTATCTGATAAGGGAAGTATGTCCAGAACACAGAAAGAATTACTTACAACTAAGTAATAAAAAGACAACAATCCTAAGTAAAATGGGCAAAGGATATGAACAGACATTTCCCCAAAGAGGATGGATAAATGAATACATGAAAAGATGCTCAACATCCTTAGCCCAAAACCACAATGACAATATCACTTAACAAATACTAGGGTAACTGTAATAAAAAGGACAGAAGGCTGGGTGCAGCAGCTCATGCCTGTAATCCCAGCACTTTGGGAGGCCAAGGCGGGTAGATCACAAGGTCAGGAGTTCCAAACCAGCCTGGCCAATATAGTGAAACCCTGTCTCCACTAAAAAATACAAAAATTAGCCAGGCGTGCTGGCGGGCGCCTGTAATCCCAGCTACTCAGGAGACTGAGGTAGGAGAATCACCTGAACCCGGGAGGTGGAGGTTGCAGTGAGCCGAGATTGCACCACTGCACTCCAGCCTGGGTGACAGAGTGAGTCCATCTCAGAAAAAAAAAAAAAAAAAAAAAAAGATAACAACAAATGCTGGCAAGGAAGTGGAGAAATTGGAACCCTAGTACAAGCTGGTGCAGATGCAAAATGGTAAGGCTGCTTTAGAAAACAATTTCTGCAGTTCCCCAAAAGGTTAACAATAATGTTACCATATGACCCAGGCACTGTTTCCAGCAATTTGTTATAGCAACAAGTAGAGAATGAATACAGATGCCTTGATATTTTTATTGCATAGTTTACACATTTTTCTTATCTCTGCAACACCTCTATGAAGTCAGTATTATTCTACCAATTTTGTAGGTAAGAAGACAAAATTTTCTCTCAGCAAGACTCGGGGGAATCTTCATCTATTGCCTTTTTTTTTTTTTTTTTGAGACAGGGTCTAACTCTGTCACCCAGGCTGGAGCGCAGTGGCACGATCTCGGCTCACTGCAACCTCTGTCTCCTGAGTTTAAGTGAATCTCCTGACTCAGCCTCCTGAGTAGCTGGGACTACAGGAGCACGCCACTATGCCAGGCTAATTTTTTTTTCTTTTTGTATTTTTAGTAGAGACAGGATTCTACCATGTTGGCCAGGCTGGTCTCAAACTCCTGACCTCAGGTGATCACACCCAGCCTCTATTGTTCCTTCTATATTTGGATAATCACCAAAAGCTCTCAACTTGGAATAACCACATGCAATGTAACAATAAGATTGTTTCCATTTGTCGAATATCAAGGTCAAAACTTATAGCATAGAAAATCTGAAAGAGACAGAAAAACACACAGGAGAAAAATTAGATCACCAGTTAATCTCACTGCCAAGCAATAGCAATCCTGTTCTTCATATAGAGTGATACGAATATGATCTATACTTTTTTTTTAGTCTCAATTGCCCTAGACACAAACCCTGAAGCAAGGATGAGAGTGCAAGTAGTTTATTTGGTGGGTGATCCCTGGAAACACAAGTAAGGGAGTATGCATCAAGGAAACAGGAAAGGAAAGGAGGCCAATATAAGATGTGTGATCAAGTGAGTTATTATTTCGTGTGACTGGAGCTTATAAAACCTGCTAGAGAACTCTGAAAGCCAGTGAAGAATACGCATCCCAGAGTTATTCCAGCCGAGGGGTGAGGGAACTAGCATATTCATACACCAACTCCTGTCCTCACTGGTTGAGAACTGCTCCTGGGGAGGCATCAATACTCCAGCACTTTTGCTTTCTCCCACCTGGAGAGTGAGAAAAGCCAGGTTTCCAGGGTCAGTCAGATGGAAGCCAGGCTAGGTAGGATGCATTGCAGCCATGGCGGGTGTGGGTAACACAATATGGGCAGAGCACAGACCCCATTTGTAGCAATGCTTTGCACGGTGCTGTCTTGTTTCTGACACCTGGAGTCTCCTAATTTGCTGCTGAACTGAAAGTTCAAGTATTTAGTCTCCTTTCCATGGGTGAGAAAACAGATAAAGATCTGGTCAGTGGTTCCTAAACTGTAAAAAGCCCTAGAGCTTCCAGAACAAGCCTGGTATGTCCAGGGAGCAGCTCATGATGGAAGTAAGAATGGGGCACCAGAAAGGGCAGCAGGCTTCCGTTCCCCCTCCATGATTCAAACAGAGCAGCTCTGTTTTATCTGTTTCTGTGTTGGGATCCCAAGCACAATTTCATTTGCAAAATGAATTTGTTACTAAAAGAAACCAACAGAAAATCTTTGAAAACCACTAGGATTAGAATTGGGAAACATTAGGGGGATAGTAAGAGTGTCTGATTTCTTCATTTCACCGAAGAGGAGAGTGGCTCTTAGAAGACCAATAGCAAAGCAATGGCAGGGCCAGGACTAGAATCATGAGAACCTTGAAACCCTGACTTGTGTTCCAGTGCTTTCCACCATATCTTGCCCATCCTACCTTTCCCAGATCTCAAAAAGGCAGAAGCCCCTACAATTAAGCAGTTTGATGTTCCGTCACTGGAGATGAGTGGCCAAGGTTCAGATCCTACCTATTCTTTTTACTGAGTCGATTTCTTAACTTCTTTCATATTCCCTCATTTTTCAAGTGGGCACAAAACCAGTATCCCAGCACATAAGACTATTATGCTGATTATGTGAAATACGTAGGTATAGTGCTTAAGCTAATGCTGCACATTCTGAATAATCAGTCAATTCCAGCAGTGACTATATTACAGGACATTAGTTTTAAAAATAATTTTGACAACCTGCTTCTGTTCTAAACCAGGAGGCTTAATTCTATGGTGAGCCTTGCTGAATGTATTCTACTTCACCCAGACCATCACGAACCCCAAAGCTGTGTGTTCTACATGTCTGGATTTTGCCTTTCTTGATTTGGGGAGGCCTCATCTTCTGCAACTAAGTCAAGGGTCAGCATGAAATTATTGACAGCTACTTAGTTCTAAAATAAATGTCACTGGAAGTAATGCTACTTACAGGACTTTGAGGATACCTCAGCATGATCAACTCAAGAATCAAATTAGTGGTCTGTCAAAATGCACAGGCACACTGATGGTTTCTGATGCTACTGTCAATGAGCTCCTTCACTTAGAATATTAGCAATGCTTAGGCAGTGGTGTGCCTTTTAGGAAACAGAGGAAACACAGTGCTTTCCATGTGTTCAAAGTGTCCCAATCAAGTTGGGAAACTTCAAGGGAAATCTAAAATAAAAAACTAATTCAGTTTGAACAAACAAAACAAACAAACAGAACACCTCCTAGAATTTGTGGAGACCCTGTTGAGTTTTGTGGCTTAAGAATTGTGTTTTTAAGCTATACATCACTGGTGGTGCTCCAATTGTGAGTTATAATAATATTTCATAAGAGGGATGGTGCTCTCATGACATATGGGTGCCGTACATCATCTAAGCACCATAGCTTTGATGATGTATTGCTCCAAACCACAATGAGAGTTTAGAGCAGCTTTTAGCAACCAGACAGCTTTAAATTTCAAATTTTCAAAAATTAAGATCTTTTCAAGTAAAAAAAAAAAAGCAAGATGATGGGATCTGATGCTATATGAAGTGTCACTGACCTCTGAGAGCCTGGGTATATGCCTTTTCCTTTTGGCTTTGAGCTCACAAGGTGGAAATCATTGGCAGGTTCTTCTTCAATTCCTCTTCCATGAGCACAGAGGCCCAGGAACTGAACAGACATGAGCAAGTGTCAATGCATCCATTTTGCCAATCAATTACCCCCATCTTCCACACTGCAAGCCTGAGTAGCTCATCATCATCCCAAAGTACTGGATTGCATAAAATGCTGTGATAGGCATTGGATAAACCCAGGAGAAGTGTTTTTTTTTTTTAATTTTTAATTTTTTGGTTTGTTTTAAGGAGATCTTCCACTGAAATTCAGAACAAAAAGAACAGATAAAAAGTAGATAGACTTCCTTACTCATTGCTCTCAAACTCAAAACAGGGCATGTAGGAAGAAAACATGCCTTGTCTAGCATTTGTCTTTGTAAAGCAAAGGAAGCACTGATTCCAAATGAGGAGAAAAAGGTGAATGGCATATGGGCTTCTGATCCAGAGTAGGAGAGGGAGCTGTTGTCATAGTTCTGTCATCTTTCCTATTTTAACGATGTGTTTATAAGATGGTAATGTGGCTTATGAGAATGTACCCACTTCGTTTAAAAACCACTCACTTTTGGGGGCAAAGTAATCACAATCAATTAAGAAAACAGGTGTTGAGAGAACTTCTCCTCCCCCTTCCGCTTTTTAAAAAAATCCTACTGCAATAAACAGAACAAAATGAGAAATCTTCCTACTGTTTGTGTAATAGACCTAAACAGGAACAGTGAGAGACAATTACATTTCAAGTGGCTTCTTCCATTTTCCTTTACTAAGTGAATTAAAGGAAAGAATGAGAGTAGTTGCTGCCATGTGGAGGGAAACATCTGGACAGAAGGAATTAACAGTCTTCCCTCCCATTCTCCTGCCTCTGATTTTTCGCTCCTTGGGCTTCCTCCAGTAGATTCCAACTCTCAAATTACTGTAGATATTTTGCATCCAGCTCCCTTCTTGACCACTTCCAAAGGGCAAAAACATCTTATTTCCACCAAAGAAAACCACTGGCTATCTCAGAAAGACGTTCCGGGCTTCTTTTCTCCCGTAGTAGTAAGTTAACTATACAGTTTGGGTAACAAAGACATGGAAACAAATGCATCACCCACTATTCTGAGGCTGTCAGTTGAAAGGTGAATGAGGCAGGCTTTGCATCTAGAGAAATATGGGTTCTTTCATGGGCTGGTAAATAAATCCCCCAAATTCAGTCCTCTTCTTCTCTATAAAGAGAATACTGACACATCACTTAATTATTTCTTTCACATAAGCAAAAAGCTTTACTTATATACTTATAGTAATATCACACCATTCATCCACCCACTGTTTTCAAGTCATTATCAGTTCTAAGACTTGCTGCCATTTACATAAGAATATTATATGTTGGAACTGTACTTAGTACTATATATTATCACGTCCTCACCAAAACATGAAAAAATGGAAACTGTTATTGTCTCCTTTTTTTTTTTTTTTCAGTAAGCAAAGTGATGCTTACTGGAATTAAAAAAATTGTGCAGCCTCACCAAGCTGGTAAAAGTGGCCGAGCTAAGATTCTAAGTCAGGTTGATGGGATGTCAAGTGTCATCTGTATTTTGCTATGCTCCTTCCTGATTAAATAACTAATGTCTGGGTGACCATATGCCCCTCTTTGTTTGGAACCATCCAGGTTCAGGCCTGCAGGTATGAACAGGCCAGTGTAATAACAAACGGCAACTTCTTTCACTCTCCTAAGTTCTGCTTTGGACAATAAATTATATGGTCTCCCTAACTAGTAGTATAGTTCATGCCAGGAAATTTTATTTCTGCTGATTCTAACTATTCTCATCTGCAGGTAGCAGGGGAAAAACAAAGAAGAAAGGAAAGAAAGAAGGCTTTTGGAAGTTTTTAAAGAATGGATACTAACTCTTATCTACCAATACCTTTCATGAAACCTCCAGCAGGTTCAGAGTACAGCTCTGGGAGGGAAAAAGAAATACTTTACACTAAAACAGGGCCCCTCAAGCTCTAAAGAAAAAACCTCGAGCATGCTAGAAACCTCTCCAGTTGAGCATTCTTTGCTTATTATCATCACAAGAGGCAACAGTAATAGCTGTTGCTATTTATTAAGCTCTTACTATATGCCAACCACCATATGCCAGAAACTGAGCTAAGCACTTTCTTTGTAAGATCTCAATTATTTATCATAAACTGCATGATAGATATAATCCAAATCTTTGTCATCATTAATTTATAGATGAAGAAACTAAGGCTGAGGAAGGTGGAATGAGTAGGTCTGTCTGATGCCAACATCCAAGTGTGATACTACTATTGACACTCTGATACAGTTGAACACAGCCTAGTAAAAGTTCTAAGCCCACTGCCCCCGCACCCCCTGCTATTCACCTTTATGATATTAAGCTCTTCTGCAACACAGTCCCATTAGAGAGAATAGGCTTCTAATAAATTTGAGATCAATCTTGTACAAATATTCTGCATTATCTTTTGGCTTGTGATTGGTTTTCAGTGACATAACAGCTTTAAATTCTTAAAGCTATTCAATGAGAATAGAGTAGATGTATTAGTCTGTTCTCACACTGCTAATAAAGACATACCTGAGACTGGATAATTTATAAAGGAAAGAGATTTAATTGACTCACAGTTCAATTATAAGTAAATCTTTTTGGCTTATGTGAAAGCAGAAGGGGAAGCAAACACATCCTTCACATGGGAGCAGCAAGGAGCAGAATGAGTGCCCAGTGAAGGGGAAGCCCCCTATAAAACTATCAGATCTCATGAGAACTAACTCACTATCACGAGAACATGATGGGGTAAACCACCCCCATGATTCAACTATCTCCATCTGGTCCCACCTACTACACGTGGGGATTATGGGAACTACAATTCAAGATGAGATTTGGGTGTGGACACAGTCAAACCGTATCAGTAGAATTTATGATCACTACCTCTAGAGAAGTTGACAAACCTAATCAAGAGCTATAAAACCAGAATAACTCCAGATGGAGGGCTCTCAGATGAGGTCATCCCTACTGCCTTGGGTTATGGATGGGTGGAACCCTGGGAAGACCATTCCAGGATAAAGAGTTTTCCTGTTCAGTCAGATATGCAGGAGCTCAGAGGTCCTTTGTAAAGTTGGTTCTGTTTGCTGCTGGGTGGGAAGGGACAGTGCCTTAGTAATGTCTCCATCTGAAAATGTATAAATGTTTCAAAATGACTTTTAGGAGACACAGAGGATGTTTCAAGATTTGTCACCCTTGTACTTTATCAGCTGTTGTTGTAGTCACCGAGTTTATAGTACATGTGCTTGGTAGAAAAAATTATAAGTGTTCTTCCTTCCATGTGGAATTCCTTTCTCTTTCCTTCTCTTCCTCTGAGTTTTAAAGAGCGTGCTCAAATACCACCTCCTTTGTGTAGCCTTCAGACTCTTTCAGGCTCTTCTGATTCACTATACATATGTCCATGACAGCTTTTTACCACAAAGTATAAGTAATTACAGGTTTTCTCTTCTACTAGTCTGGAACTCTGGGCTATTTGTTACTTATTTTTCCCCTGATTTTTTCTTTTCCCTAACCCTAGGTTCCTAGGTTAGAAGACATATCTTCTAAATGTTGAATGGATGGATGAATGGGTGGATGGATGGATAGCTGGCTGGCTGGCTGGCTGGGTGGATGGGTGGATGGGTGGATGGGTGGTGGATGGGTGAATGGATGGGGGGATGAATAGATGGATGGGTATCCACCATGGGTGGGTTGATGGGTGGGTAGCTAGGTACATGAGTGGGAATGTGGACAGATAGGTGCATGGATGGATGAACGGATGGTTAAAAAATGGACAACTATTCATGCCTGTAATCCCAGCACTTTGGGAGGCCGAAGCGGGTGGATCACGAGGTTAGGAAATTGAGACCACCCTGGCTAACACGGTGAAACCCCATCTCTACTAAAAATACAAAAAATTGGCCAGGCATGGTGGCAGGTGCCTGTAGACCCAGCTGCTTGGTAGACTGACGCAAGAGAATGGCATGAACCTGGAAGGTGGAGCTTGCAGTGAGCCGAGATTGTACCACTGCACTCTAGCCTGGGCAACAGAGCAAGACTCTGTCTCAAAAAAAAAAAAAAAAAAGGACAACTACACTGCCTTTAATTTCTTAGCCTACTTGAAAGAAGAAACAATACATGCACTGATTTTCTTGGCCATTCTTGTCTTTTTCTTTTGCTTGAAAGTTCTTGTGCATACGAAGATATGGCCTATGAAGAGTCATTATGATCACATTGTACACACCTTTCTTCCCCATTGAAAAGTATCTTTTTACCAATATGTAAGTTTGAAGTTCTTGTGTTTCTAGCCTCACATAAATCCCTTTTAAAAAACTCCTCAGATATGCTCAAGTGTCTAGAGAAACAGCTCATCCTAAAAACAGTCAGCATTGCTAGGACTGCCAAGAGGACGTATTTGTTGTTCAGTATTAACTTCATTAAGAGTTACTGTGGTTCTCTCTCAGGAGAGAAGAAGAAACCTACCCTTTCTTTGGATATCTTCTGATTTTTACAAATTAATTACAGGGCGCTCTCTTTGTTAGACAAAATATCAAGAATATGTATTTTTTTATTTATACATCATATCAGAACATTAATTTGTAGAGTGATTCCCTCTGGGTGCCTTTCTGTTGGGTACACAAAAAAAGGATTTGGATGCAAATGAAAAAGTGATAGCATTTTTTCTTGTCTTACTCATTTTGTGACAAATGCACATTGCTTTACTGTTTGCTATACACATAATTACAGTTCTTTAATTTATGTTTCAATAAAATGTATAATAATAAACATTTACTACTCCATGAATAAACATTCGAGTGAAGCCTCTAATGGAGGTTACATGTTTCGAGGCAGCTCTGTGGCTTTCCAGAAATCTCGCCTTCTACTTAATGAGCATCATTTCCATAATCTGTGCATTATTGCTTAAGCCTCCATTTAGAAATATTTCATAAAGCAAAAATTTGTGAAATATGATCAGTCCAAAGGGAAAAAATATTAAGGGAATTAGCAACTTGTCCTGTTAAAGGGACAGGACAAGCTTTCATGTCCC